CTTTTGTGCAAGAAGAATTGTATCTTTGCTTTTGCTTTAAATTCATCAAAGTTAGTTCAGACAATGGCTTCTTACATACAAAATGGGAGTGAGTGTGTATGTGTGTGTGTGTGACTATGTACCCTAGATAAGATCTTAGAAAATGCCTAAAACATACACTATAACATTGTCATAACATAATCAATGATGTAGACAACCTAGGAAATAATATGTGTATCAGAGCCACATGAGTCCAACAGGATAGACAAAGAAGGGTATCATTGCAAAGATACTGCCCAGCGGGATGGCTTTTGCAAGGACATGGGTAACACAGCTTTTTTTCTTCCCCTGTGGACAAATAGCTTGTCACCTCCTCAGCACATTCATTCTCCCCTGCATGGGGTTGTGTGGCCCATGCTGACTTTCAGGCCTTAACCTGCAAAAAAATCCCTTTAGAAATACCTTTCATTATGAATATTGTTGAGAAAAAACCTGTAAGCTGAATTTAAGAATGAGTCACAGTCAGTTTAACAGCTTATTATTTCTTTTATATAAGTGATTCATTTTGTCTTGGGAAAAAAACTATATGCTTAAATCATATTGGCTTTATCTTTGTCATCTCTTCATTATCATTCATTATCATGTATTCAATACTCATTAGGAAACACATTTTCTATTAATATTTTCTACTAAGAGTTTTGAGACTACAAGTTCAGCTTTCCAAATCCAAAGTGAATAATATTTTAAATACATTTATTCATTCAGTTTTCTTTGGGGTCCAGCAAGGTACCAGATGTTGTCATTTCCCTGATATATTTATGAAGCCCTGTAAGCGTTTAATAAATGGATTTTGAATTGCTTTGCATATTGCCATTCAAAGTTTTCAAATGGTTAAGGATTTCTTTCTTTCTTTATTATTTTGTTTTTTGTTTTTGTCAAGACTACTCCATAAATGGCATTGTGAACTTCCATCAGGGAGCACACAGTGCCAGATTTTTCTTTTTTAGTGATGTTAGCAACTACAGATGGTTATTGCCTGGGTTCATCAATTCATCAAGCACTGCAAAATCATGACACTCCAATAATATGGTTCCTTCTTCAGTTGTTAGATGGATTACTTTTGTAAACAGAAACTGGTCCTCACCAAATTTTGATTACCCTTAGATATGCTTTCCAGAGGAAAGGCAGGATAAATGCTTTGTTTTTTTCCCCTTTATTTTCCAGTTTTCATAGTTATATTCTTTAACAGCTTTTAAATTTGACCCCTGAGGTTTATTTTTTAAATATCATCATGAACTGATGAAATCAAATATATTTTATATGTTTTAATTCATTGCATTTATTATCTTATTGGTACTCAAATGGTTGTCTGGCTCAGTGGGAGCCTATTAAATGGGTCTATTTCCCATAACCTAGTAGTCTTTGATGGCTTCCTTAATTTCTGTTTTGACAAGTCATGCCAGACTAATTTTAATCTAGATCAAGGACTTGCCATTTTTCCTATGAAATATGGTTTATTTTAGTGAGAAATTGTACTTAGAAATGAAAATCTGATACTAGATGTATTCATTGTTACTGACAGGTCATTGTTCCTAGGTATTTTCACTAAACACACATATATTGTGTGTGTGTATGTTTGTGTGCGTATGATTTCTCCATATATATATACGATAAAATACATCATGAGTTTACTTATATATAATTCTAATTTAGGATAATAGGATTTTTATTTAAACTCTATCTCCTTTCTCCTAAGACAAAAAGCTGTATTCAGTGTAACCAGCATAAATTCCCATTTAGCTTTATCCAACTCTACACCAACAATATTCTCAGAGTACACTACTACTATTATGTATATAATTACTGAAATATTTTAAGTTGACTTTTCTAGTTCCTTTAGTTCCTATTAAAGGGTATATATCCCATCTTATGTATGCATTTTGTTTTTTTATTTAACAATATATCCTACAGATGACCACATAGTACTACTCTTCATTCTTTTTCAGCTACACAACACTTCACTGTATCAATATACTATAGTTTATTCAGGTAGTCTCCTGTGACAGATATTTGAATTTTTTCCTATTTCTTTTCCTGTTATTTATAGAGGTATGGGAAAAAAATCCTTGAATATACTTGACTCTTATTTAGCTTCTAGATTTATCAAATTACTGAACAATCAGGTGAGAGGGGGCATGTTAAAAGGATTCAAGAATACAATCAGTAAAATCCACATTGTGGCAAAACCCACAGGACAAATGACCTGAACTCTGCAACCACAAAAACAAAAATGTGAAGAAAAATAAGATGAAGATATAGATTAAAAAAGAATTAAGAGACATTTTAGCTATTCTAATGTATGGGCTTTATTTTAAATCCCAAATAAACTATTAAAAGACAATTGTGGATTGTGTATTTGATGATACTAAGGAATTATTTTTAATGAGTTTGGGTGTAATAATGGTTGTACATCTTAGAGATACATGATGAATACTGACTGATGAAAGGCATATCTGAGATTTTTTCAAAATAATCTCAGGAGGGTGGAGATTGGTGCCAATATAGGTGAGACAAGATTAACCCTGAGTTGACAAATGTTGATCCTGGCTGATGAATATGTGGTACGCCATCACACTGCTACTCTTATTTTGTGTATCTTTGACAGCATTGATAATACTAAAAATTCAAGTAGTTTTAATTAATCAGGTATTTCTTTCTAAGATAAGGTCATCTTCCAATACATATATAATGTAATTTTCTCTAAGGATTCTAAAAAATCTACATTTAACAAAAAACTGGCTTTTTTAAAATGTAAGAATTTAGTATAATGTATCTTTCACAGGCAGGAACTAGTCTTTTTATCTTCTTGGTATTATAATAAAGTATTGTCTGGGATACTTATTAATATTCAAGATGGAAAGGAAACATTAATGAATCAGGATTATGGGAATAAGAATAAATTACAAAATCAAATATTCATATATTGTATTTTTCCTTTTAATCTCCTTTTAATTTAATTTCCTTTTAATTTAATATTGTATTTCTCCTCTCACTGGAGAAAAGAAAGACTGTGTGTTGTGAAAATTTTATGTCAAGACCTTAAAGTTGCAGCAACGCAGACCAACTCAACTCCTGTAGCTGTACTTTATAAAGGATGACAGAAAAGTTGAATGAAAAAAATATGTAGAGAAGGGGAAGAGTATAACAGTGATATAATTTAGTCTATCAATGACTTCTGAAGGACTTACTCTGGAAGGTTGGATGATATAGCACAAATATTTAAGCAGATGTAAAACTGATATTTGAAATGTAAAACTAGGGAGTTCACAGTTTGAAAGGGTTTATACCAGAACATCATGGAGCAGAGGCCAGTAATGGGAGGGGGAAAATATCTACAGTTTGGGAACGGGAAAAAAATTATTTCCTGTGTCCTTCTAGATCAGACACAGTTTCTTTTAATGGTGATTAAAGATAGTTTACTATTCTAAAAAAATTTACCTATCATTAAACAAAAGAAGAGGAGAAACAGGAAGTTGGGAACCTGATTGATTTTACATACTATTATATGCTCAACTTCTAGCCCAAAATCTGGGTTATGGAAGACCTGCAATAAATTCTATTGCTTAAGTGAGTGTGTGCATGCTGAATAGGATGAAATCTGAGACCAGGTGAAGGAAACAAATAAGCAAAAACAAATAAATAGATGCAAGCATGAATTACCTGAGCAGCCTTCTGTTTTTTCAAAATTGTAGGTCTCATAGCATAAGTGCTGATTGATATTCCCAATGGTTTACCACCTTGTGACCTTGTAATTCTTATTTTTTAACTCTTCTTTCATTTGCAGAACACCCAAAGAATGAAACACTTCTTGAATCACATTTGCTCAGTTTATTAACTCTTGCAGAGGGAAAATGATTAAGCTAAATCATTTCCTCATCCATTCACCCTGCCAAAACAATTTTTTTTCTACATAAGGATTTTGAGAATTTTTTGTAACTATATAGTAATATATAGATATATAACTGATCAAGGATGGTATTTAAAGTATCTTTTACTGTTCTTGGGTAGAAGTATTTTCTTGAGTCAGGTGAGAAATTTAGAATAATCGTATTTAAAACTTTGGCCAGTGTAAGTGTGGAAAGACCTTGTATGGAAAATGAGTCTAAAAATGCTGGAGGTGTCTTAATTAACAATAGTACATTGGAACCTTAAATCAGGTTTCATCACTGGAAGTGAAGTCCTCCAAGGCAGACAGAGCCTATAAATATGTAATGAAATAGTATCTTTTCATTTTTGGAGAAAGCTGTTGTAAAGTGAAAACAAAAACCAGTAAATTCCAGGTACTGAAGTTATTACCTGTTGAAGTTACATCTATTGAAGGAGAGTGAGCTAGCAGCTTCATACTTAATATCAATACTATATTCATATATTAATTATTCATTCAACTAGTATTTGCCATGGCAGGTAGTTTTCCAGGTGGTGGAGGTACAGTGATGAATAAGGAAAAAAATAAAAACATCCTGGTGATCCAAAATTTGGTATATAGGATATGGTGGGGTAGAGATAGACAATACATAAATAATAAAGAAATGTAATAATTTCAGGTGATAATGAGTGTTCTGATTAAAATAAGTGGAGGTGATATGAGACAATGATAGAGACAAGGTGGAGGTGGATATTGGAAATTCCTTTCAGCAACTTGTTCAAGAAGTATGTCCCTGTGTTTTGTTTGTTTTTTAGCTGGGGCTAATGAGATGAGGAGCTCCCTATTTAAAGATGTAGGGAAGAAGGTGTTGAATAGGAAAAAAGCAAGTAAAGCTGGGCAAGTGTAGTTCTGCCCCAGAGGTTCTGCACTTATTCTTTGTTCTGTCCATGATTAGCGTGAGAGTAAAGAGTCAAGAGACTCCAGCATGGAGAGTCTTTTAGGATATGGTAAAGAGTCTTGCTTTTATCTAAAATCCAAAGGGATATCACTGAAGTGTTTTAAGGCAGAGTGGTTTTTGCTGCTTTTTATTTTTCAGACACCATGGGGCCTGGTGTGGAGTCTGGATTGAGTGGATTCAGTGAAATGAGGCAGGAGGCCATTTCACTGACTGAGGGAGAGAGCACAGCAGCTAACTGTGAAGACTTCTGCATGTATTTTGGAGATGGAGCAAAAGGTACTTGTAAATTGATTTGAGGGGGCTGGGGAGAGGTGGATCAAGGCAGTGTCATATACATTTGCTTCTCTACTGATCTGTGTGATGGAGTTACTGGGCAAACCAGGTGGCAGACAAAATGAGTTTATATGCAATATTACAGCAGCTCTCATTATGGAAATACACATTTATCTATAATAAGAAAGGCAATATGAGAATGTTACACATTCCCTGGAAGCTAAACTGGGCTCTGGTGTCCCACTCCAATTTAATTTCAATTGAACATTTTTACTGAAATTACTTACATACATAAGACCCTGTTTTAGATGCTGGGAATAGAATACCAGGCATGCAGCTTTAAGCTGTTAATTCTTGTAACACTCAAAAGCGTTAAACATATATGTCATTATTATTATACCTATTTTGCATATAAAGGAACTGAAATGCAGAAAAGGTAAGTGAACTTCCAAAATCCCTCAGCCATTAGTGGTGGAGCCAGAACTTAACGGAGGCAAATTGTCCTTCAACCATGACACAGTAATGCCTCTCACATAATCAGATTAAGAATATTGCACATTTACATTATCCTTCAAGACTTTTCTATATGTGTAACTCAGAGTTTGTCATTTTATTCTCATTTAACCCTGTTAATAGCCAGAGCATATCTCTGTTGGGGGGGGGGGGGGGATTTCATTTGGCCAACTAGTGTTTATTGATGTTCTACTTTGTAATGATTGCTACCAGTGCCTGCAGCAAGGTTGCAGCCCTCAAAAAACTAGTGTTCTAGGCCTAATATCCCCTAGTCAGTTTTGTGAAGTCAGCAAATTATAACCTCCTCAGATTTACCTTTCCTCAACTATAAAGTGAAAGACATTTTGGTGACTGATTTATAAATACAAATTGTATTTAACAAGGCTAAATTACTTGATCAAAGTAGCTAGATACAAAACAAAAGTCAGTAACTTTTCTCATTAACAGCAACAAGCAAGTTGGAAAATGTAATAAGAGTAATGAGTGATTTACTGAAGGATTTCTTTCACATTAGTAACAAACTCATAAGAACTCAAAAAATGTAAACCTAAAAATCCTGGCAATTTTATTGTACCATTAGGGAAAAAGTTTTCAAATTTTAGTAAAGGGGCACACAGAAAGACCCAAATAAAAATCTTTACTATGTTTATAAAGGGGAAACCAGAATATTGTCAAGATCAAGATGCTGGTTCTTCCAAAACTTACCTGTGTGGTTGTTCAGTTAAGATTGTTATGATTCAGCAAACAGTTTAAAAAAATTCATATGAAGCATAAACTGGCAATGAAGAAATTTTAAGAAGAACAGAAGAGTGGTTTGTTCTACAGTCAGCAATATATCATAAAGCTGAACAAATTAATACTGTGGAATAATGGTTCATCAGTAAATAAGTAGCTTAATAGATTAGAAAGTCCAGAAATAGATATATGTATATGTTTACATATGAATCTTTCATATATAAATATGTAAAAAATAGTAACCGTGAAAAATACCAAAATCAATAGGGTGAAAACATTCAACCAGTATCAAGAAGGCTACCATTAAAACATAAAAACATCATCATCATTATAATACAAAATTAGATTCTTACCTCATACCATTTAAATCTAAATACATTTAAAGTTTAAGTATAAAGAAACAAACAGCAGAAGATAATTAGGAAAATGTAGATAAAACAGGAATGCCCTTAATCTTAGAAAGATTGAAGTTTATAAAAGCTGTTGTTTGTGGACTTGTGGGAAAAGGGTTACACACTAAAGAAGGAATATAAATTGAATCAGGCATTTTAGAAGGCAATTTGCCAGTATTACTGGAAACAAAATTTACACTGACCTCAAGTAGGTAATTTCCCTTCTCAATATGTATCATTGACAAAACAGAGGACAAAAAAAGAAGCTGCATAGAGACATCTTTACTGCAACATTAATTGCAATACCAGAATATTGGATATGACCTAGAAGTCCTTTTGTAGGAAATGGCTAAATAATATTTAAATTCCTACCTTGGAAATCTATAAAATGCTTCAAAGGAAATAAGAAGACCTATGGACATTAATGTGGCAATTTCTTTTACTTATATGTTGAGTTTAAAAAATTGTAAATTATAAATACTAAATACAGGGTAATAAAATTTGGGTTAGAAATGAACATACAAAGCATACCTAGTGTTTATTATGGTTTGGTAAGCCAATACTTGAAAAAAGTCGAATGATGAAATACAAAAGGAACAAGAACCTGTGCAATTGCGGCCAGGGGGAATTTGCTTAGGTGTTAGAATTGGGGGAAGATCCACACATGCTGGCATGGCTGATTCTCATACATTAATGGTTCTGGCAAATACCCATTTTCTATGCTGCTTTAGTCAGTGGATCATCACTTCCATGAGTCTTCATTGAAAACTAAATTTCAAACTTCCGGGACAATTCTACTTCTCCAAGAGTGTTTCTGTCAGATAGACCTTGCAGTGCTTCAGAAAACTCTATTTACCGGCACCCTTGTATTCTTGTTTTTGCATGTCTTTGCATATCTATTTCCTCATTTACAGCAAATTGAAGTAAAAGCAACCTAAAACTAGTGTCAACTTTTCCAATTGTTTGTCTTCTGTTTGGGCTTATATAGGAAAATATCATAGACTTAGTAATTTATATACAACAAGAATTTTATATACAAAAAGAATTACTTCTCACAGTTCTGGAGGCTAGGAAGTCCAAGATCGAAGGTACTGGCAATTATGGTGTCTGGTGATAGCCAGCTTCATGGCTCATAGATTGCTATTGTCTCACTGTGTCATTCATGGTAGACAGGGCAAGGGAGCTCTCTTAGGTCTCTTTTAGAATGATACTAATCCACCCTCATGACCTAATCACTTACTGAAGACCCCACCTCCCCCACACTGGGGATTAGGTTTCAGCTCATGAATTTTGAGGGGACACATCATTCAGTCTGTGGCAATATCTGGGTCACTTTTGTGATCTGGCCTACCTCATATATATTTTAAAATATTTTAAGATGTTTGGAAAGGTGGACACCAAAATCATAACAGAGATTTTCTTTGGGAATGGAGAATGAGTGGAAAAGGGAGCTGGAAATCAAAGTGACAGTGAACAAAAAGGTCTTTGATTTCTTGTTTTGTTATATTATTCTAATGCTTTATTTAGAAATAATGATAAATTCACCAGAAGTTGGGAAGATAGTACAGAGAGGTTCCATGTTTCCTTTCCTACCTCCCAGTGGTTCCATGACATTTTATGCTAGCTCTAATATAGCATCAAAGCCAGGAATATGACATTGTTATGATGTGTGTTTCTAGTTCTATCTCATTCTGCTACATGTGTGAATCATCTACCACCATATTTTGCTGTACATTAAAAAATAAGAAAGCATGCAATTCTATTACTTAATTAATTACAAAAAGATTAATGAAATCACTAATCTGACAATTAATTTATGCAATCATTTAGTCAACCAAAATTAGTGGCTACATAGCTTCAGTTAGTTGAATATACCATCATTAATTCACTAGTTCTCTTTTCTTAATCATTAATAATTCATTAAATATTATACACCGAAAAGAGAAAAACACAGATGTGCACATATAGTTGCACAATATCCCAGCTGATTTTTTCCCTGTAAGTGTAATTGTTGAATCAAATCATATGTAAATATCAAAGATATCTCCATATTGCCTTCCAGAAATGTTCTATAGATTTAAACTCCCAGTATGAGACTGAGTTAGCATTTCATTGCAACCGCAAAGATTGTGAAAACTTTTTGTAATTTTAAATGTTTCAGTACTTACGAGGATATCAAGGATAGAACAGATATTCCAAAAATATTCACTTAAGAAATGAGTACTTGAAATAATTTAGCAATTTTAAATGTAACAAATATAACTTTTCTTAAATGCATTTTCCTCTGAGTAGTGACAAAAAGGACAATAGTCATTTAATTGGAAAAGTTTTTATTCTGTGAATTTTTTTATATCCTTTAACCATTAAAAATTTTACTTCTTTTTCCATTGACTCAATACCAATTTTATGTTAAAGATATTGACTTCTTGTCTGTTACAGAATTTGCTAATCTTCCTAGTTTTCACTTCATTTTAAATTTTGTCTGAGATACTGACATAAAATCATTTTCATTTTTGTATAACCAAAATCTAAGCCTTTCCTGATAATGATATCTTTGTTTTTATTGATTAGCAAGTACTTCCCAATACAAAATCAGTAAATATTCAGTTGATATAAGCTGATTTCTCTATAATTAACATTTTAGTTGAACATTTGATTTTATATCATAATGTAGAGCTCAAAATATTTTCCCCAGTTAGTTAACCTCACATACAAATAATATGTGTTGAATAAAATTTTTTTCTTCCTCTGATTTGAATAGTGATATTTGGAGGATGCAAATTATGACATATATATAAAGAACTGTACCTGTGTTTTCTGTTATCTTGAATTTTTTAAGTAGCCTCAACGTGTTTCAATAACTGTAGAATTATAAGATATTTTAAAATAATCTGGCAGTGACATCCACACTCAATCTTATTTTGGAAAATTGCCATTTCAATGAACTGTAGAAACATTATGCAAAACTCAACAAAATAGTCTTCAAATTATTTGTGATTTTAAATTTTTCCTCATAATTAAATCAAAATTACTACATCATCAAATCTAGTATATTCTTTTTGATCAATTCTGGGTAAAATGGTATTGAAAACATAGACATTTAACCAATAATTACTTCCCTCCATCTTCTTTCCCCAAAGAACGAACTAGCAGATTATGAAGTAGAATCTGGGAATTGGAGAAGCAGAGCAGGAGTGGTATTTATTTGTGAGAAACTTTGAGGAGTTTCTTCGAATTGAGGAGGCACAGCCCTACCCGTGTGAAACAGACTGGATGAATTTTTTTAGAAGAAAGGTATCTGGAGCCAGACCTGTTCCACTAATCACAAACTTTCCTTCTGACTAGTTGTGAATCCTTTCATTC